TTAGTGTAACTTTTTCACCAGTTACGCTAACAGTTAGTGTAACTGAGGGTACCACTACACTAACTGTTAGTGTAACTGGTGAAACAGTTACACTAACATGTAGTGTAGTGGGTTCACCCACTAACACCGCTAAAATTTCACTAACAGGATTTTGGGTAGTGTTTTTTGTGCCTTTTTAAAGGTAGCTAACACTACGCTAAAGTTGTTTTTTTTGTTTTTCAAAAATACTGTAGTGTTAGTGGGCCAAAAATTCCCGCTAAAGGTAACTTTTGTGTAGCGTAGCTTATAAAGCTAACACTACGCTACACTAACACTACGGTTAGTGTAACTGGCCCACCATTGATAGGGAGTATCCAGGAAGCGGCGGGCCCCTCGTTCAAGGGAACCGCGGAGAAAGTTAGTGCGCCTGTTGAGAAGGTGCTAGCTGAAGTGCGGAGCACAGAGTTCGGCGAGAAAGAGAAGCCGGTACATTGGGCGCTGGTGTCTTGCCCTTTGGGGTACGTTGAGATGGAGATCAGAGGCCAGAGGGTTTGGGCAATGATCGACAGCGGCTCCATGATTAATATCATGCCCGCGGAGCTGGCCCGAGCGGCCAACCTTTTGCGATGGAAGACGAGTATGTCGATCCGCACCATGGGAGGATTCAGGTGTGAGGTAGAAGGGGTGGTGGAAGCGGAGCCGGTGCTCGTGGCCAAGGTGGAAGAACGGGTATCGTTCTTGGTCACGAGGTCGAAAGAAATCATCCTCGGCCGGCCATTCCTGTTTGCCTTCAGAAATGATCTGCGGTTCTGTCCTAGGTGGAGGGAGGAGATTATGGCGGTGCGGGACTCGGGAGGTAGGCAATTCGAAACCACTATCTGCCAACCGCAGAGCGGGGAATGGTTGAACCGCGTGGTGGACCAGGAGCGGCATGGCGAGTGGTGCCATGAGCCGCCACCAGAGGATTTTTAGATGTTGGCCGAGTCATCCGTACGGGGAGAGCTTTGACTCCGTATGGACGGTCAACAACTAAGAAGCAAGAGGGTATAGGTGTGGAGATGGGGCGAGGCGACAAGGGAGCAAAAGTAAGTCTTCCATCATATGCATCTCCGGGGAATGAGTCGAAACACTACTTCAATGCGTGTGCGATAGGAGTAGCGGACGAGCGGAGGGGAGGAGCAAGTGGGGACGGCGGAGAGGAGAGGCGGAATCGGAGTAGAGGGGCGGAGGCCAAAAGAGTGCAAGTAAGTCCTCCATTGTGTGCATCTCCGAGGGGTACTATCATAAAACACTATCAAAGTGCCACATTTGTGAGCAAAGGGGGAGGTCGTGGACTGTTGTTAGCTCGACGGGATGCAGGCGACAGGAATGCCCGGCTAACTAGGGTGAACGGAGGGAAGTACAAACCGGTGTAAGACTCAAAAAAGTGATTGTAAGATCCTTTTTGCTGAATGGAGAAAGGGATGAAATGAGCTGCAAACTCTGCCTTTCTATATTATCAGAAAACAAGACCACCAAGGTAAGCTTGGCAGTTTGGTTGGTGATAATGGATTATGTTCAAAGATGGTTGTATAATTGTTGAAGGTTGATCTTGTTGTCCAAAGAGTTGATTGAGTTGGTGATGTTGTTTCTCGTCTTGATGTCTTGATGCTTGTGTTCTTCCTTAATGCTGTAAATGTAATAGAGGTGGTTCTTGAACCCAAAGGGTCTGGGAGCACTATGCTTCAACCAGGACTGGAACAAAGGACTGGTTCTTCTGTGTAATGTTTGTGAAACTGTGTATATATGTCAACTGTGAACTGTACTACTTGTGAACCTCTTGTGTAATAAATATCTGTGACAGGTGTCCCACCAAAAATGTGTACTGAGTGGGATGAGGAGGGAAACAACTGGCAGGCAGAGGCCTCCTTATATAGTAAAATATGAGGGATTTTAGCCCCAAGGGACCCCCTGTATGAGGCATTTTAGCTGCCCTATCCTTGAAAATCCTGAGGGATTTTGGCTAGACTATCTACAACGCATTCCTTTTATATGTAAGCTGTAAGAAAGGAATTCATGTGTTCTGTGGCTGAATAAATGGGAATTTAACTGGTACAACTGGTGGCCAACTTGTGGTTCTGTAAGTATAAAAGGAATTCAATATGAATAAAAGGAATTCAATATGCAATATGCAATATACCCCCATGCAATATACCCTCCAGCTGAGTGCCTCTGATCCTGTGATTCTCCGTGTGACATCCTTGATTCTGCGTAACTTCTGATCCAGTAGAGATATGAGGGTGGTTCCAGTGAGTGACTCGGGGTTAAATTGGCCGTAGATTCCATTTCTGACGTCCATTTGTCCATATCTTGAGTCCTTCATTGATAAATAATAAAATTTTGAATTTTCTCCCTTCATACACAGGAATAATGACCACATCCTCCCCCAACTTATTGACTGTCCCCAGTCAATTCTGATTTTATGACTGTGTTTGAAGGCTTAACCTTGTGTATTTTGTATTGTAGAATTTAGATGATATAATAATGATAATAAACTTTGATATTTTTTATGTTTGTTTTATTTTATTTTTTTTTTATAGTCAAATTTGATTGAGACTGGGAATTGAACAGAGGAGCCTTCTTATTTCTCAGAAATTTACTCCTTGGGTGAGAGTTGATCCCAGGTTTATTGTGTATAAATTTTGATCAAGGGTGGGAGTGGAACCCATGTCTCTGATGTTGATTTGTGTGTAGGTGTAGCTGGTTTTGCCTAGTTGGGGACTGGAACTGAGGTCCAGTTGGTTGACTCCAAATTTGGAGTTTATGAGGTGACAGTTGACTTCCCGCCTTTCACAGAAAATTTCACAGCCCTTGGTTCGAGCTGCTGCGCGCGCAGTAGTCCTAAAAGCCGCGCTGCCCTTTTCCTGGTCTTCCTCCGTTTCTCGGACGACCTGTCACTGGCCTTTCACAAACTCTAGATATCCTCCAGGATATCCACTCCGGCCCGGTAGCGTATCCTCCAAACTGTACCCCTATCTCTCCTACTCCCCCCTCTCAACCAATCTTCTCTCGATCATCCACCCGTCTATCCGCCTCTGGACTGATCTTCTCCTCCAATCTTCTCGGCGATCTCCTCGTCGATGGGATCCTCAAACTAGTAAGTCTTCTTATTTCTTCTGCTCTCGTTTTACCCCGCGCTAACAAAACCAGTTTGGACCCCGCAGATTCTCCTATGAGCTTGCCGCGCTGCCATTCCCGTCTCGGTATCTGTGGGTCTCTCTGGTTAATCCCACCGGGTCTGAATTGGCACTCGCCGACTAGTAGTGGATTGGATCTCTGTCTCAGGTAAGTGTTTACATTTTACTCCATCGTTTTTAGATTCCCTAGTCTAAGTCGGTGACAACTGCCGGTCCGTATCAACCCCCACCGTTTACGAGTGTGCCACTACTCTCCTTCTAGCTCTCTGGCGGCCGGCCCCGACCCGGTAGTGTACTTTCCTCTAGCCCTAGCCTCGTGAACATTCGGCCGTCCGATTTTCCGGCCTTGTCTTCCCAGTTCCGGTCCTTACAGCTTTGTCAGGCTTTGATCACGATCCGCCTCGACTTGCTCGGTTCCGGGTAGCGTATCTACGAAAACGATCTTCACGGCTAGCAGCAGC